GATATCTTCATCACGACCGCGTTAGGGTCGTCCAAATATGATGAACCCAACTGCACAGCTCGCGGTGGACCCCTGGAATGAGGGTAGATGAAAATTTGATTCATTTACTACGAGTAACACTGCTTAATGTGTGAAATAATGTAACTAACATAATTAATAATCTTCCTAATATTATAAACTAGCTTTAGTCCGCGACTCTGTTTGCGTAAAGTTAAAAAAAAGAAACAAAAAAAGTGAGTCCTCCCAGATTCTCTACATCTATGATTCAATAAGATACAAATAAAACTGCATAATATTAGCAATAAGTGAAAGTTTTTATGGATGGAAGATGGATGTTTTTTAGAGTTTGTAGCCTAAATAGCTGAACGGATTTCGATGAGTCATAGATGTTGAGCAAAGTCTGGAAGATCCATATACTATTTTTTTATGTTTTTGTGTCTGAATGGACACTGTTTGCCTTGAAGAGGCATTTACAGATTCATCGGCGCTTATCCCGAACCCCGTTTATGAGTAACTAACCTCAAAGGCTCCCTCAGGAGCCTCGGCACGAGCTGTTACTTCGTTATTATTACCGGATTGGAAAATAATTGTCCATTTTGCTATTTAATTGAACGCGCAATCTCGGGCCAGCCAATCTTACTATCGTGTTTCAATCTGACGTCAACGCCATCTATTATCCACTTACATGACAATGCTGTTATCTCTTTCTTCGTAAGCGCAGTGCGCCGCTGTTAGCACGAAGCGATCGCTGATCAAAGAGCCTCCGCAGCGCCACGCGTACCCGTCATACTGGAATACATTAGCTTTTAAATATTAGAAGATTCGTATATCGTATTTAGTCGGGTTATATCGACTTTATCTATATCTATACTATTATAATAAAGCGTAAACACACTTTTTTGTTGCCTAAAATGTCAGCAATTACAGCATATTTTTGAATAATTCTTTCTTTAATAGAAAGCCATACACTAGCGTCACGCTTTAGGCTATATATTTTAATGCCATTAAACATAGGGGGTAAATATTTTGGAAAAACCTTAATGTGGGAAAATGACCATAAGTTGGCGCCAACATCAAGGAAGCAAGGTTATCATATCGTGTCATTTTGACATTTGCAATTGATATTTGACACAATAAAATTTTCATAATTATATGCGGATGAAGTCTCACGGGAACAGCTAGTAACATGATATTTTCGGTAAGTTCACTAAAACCAGTAACGTTTAGGGGACCTTTGACTAAACAATCGCATGTTATGCGATTGTCGATTGTTTCGCAGCCCCAACTGTTTAGTTGCACAACTAAAAAATCGAGTAGTGTGTTAAGCTGTAATTTCTCTGTATTTGTTCTGTATATCTCATTATTGTTTTCAAAACTACCAATATTTTAATTATTTGCCAATATGTACCATAAAAAATGCTTCTTTTAGTTTATTTATTAAATGTTTTATTACATGTCAATACAACACTGCACTTAACTTGACAACTGATATGACCTTTCAGAGAAATTACCAGCGAAAAATTTTTTTAGTCTCGTCTACATATTATTTACTAGCTGTAGCGACTTCGTCCCCGTAATCGAAAAAATAATAAAAATATAGCCTATGATCACTGATAACGTAGCTTTTTAATGGTGAAAGAATTTTTAAAATTGGTCCAGTAGTTTTTGAGTTTTTCAATGCATACAAAAATACAAATCTTTTCTCTTATAATCTATCTCTCACACTATAATTATGGTATATGTTATATGGTATATGGAATATGGAATATGGTATATGGTATATGGTATATGGTGTATGGTGTATGGTGTATGGTGTATGGTGTATGGTGTATGGTGTATGGGGTATGGTAGATGGTATATGGTATATGGAATATGGAATATGGAATATGGTATATGGAATATGGTGTATGGTGTATGGGGTATGGTGTATGGTGTATGGTGTATGGTGTATGGTGTATGGTGTATGGTGTATGGTAGATGGTATATGGTATATGGAATATGGAATATGGTATATGGTATATGGAATATGGTATATGGTATATGGTATATGGTATATGGTATATGGCATAAGGTATATGGTATATGGTATATGTTATATGGTATATGGCATATGGTAAATGACATATGGTATATGCTATATAGTATATGGTGTATGGTATATGCTATATGGTATATGCTATATGCTATATGGTATATGGTATATGGTATATAGTATATGGTATATGGTATATGGTATATGGTGTATGGTGTATGGTGTATGGTGTATGGTGTGTGGTGTATGGTATATGGTGTATGGTATATGGTATATGGTATATGGTATATGGTATATGGTATATGGTATATGGTATATGGTGTATGGTGTATGGTATATGGTATATGGTATATGGTATATGGTATATGGTATATGGTATATGGTATATGGTATATGGTATATGGTATATGGTATATCAAAGAACTTACATTTAACTTTACCCATCCAATCAGCGCCATATGCGGAAACTCCTTTATGGATACAACCTTACCCCCTACAATTAGGGGTATTTGTGACGGAGCACACGATGTTACATTTATTTCGAGAGGTTCCGGAGAAGGTACTAAAGGTATCGCTTGCAGCTGCTTCGTTTGTAACTTCTTGTATTTACTGCACACTGAAATATATAGTTTTTTTAGACAGAAACAACCATTATTTAGTTGCATTTTTTATATAACATAAAGTGGCGAACGGGCAACCGGCCCCCTGAATCCGCCAAAATGGCGAAGCGACCGCTGCCCATAGACATCCGCAATTGCAGATGCGTTGCCTACTCTTATCCGATGGAGGAAGTGACGCACATAAAGAGAGTATTTCCCCTTCCCATTCTCTCCTTATAGGAAAAGGGTGGTAAAGAGAAAGGGACTTAAAATAGGCCTCCGGCACCACACTCATCAGACGAGACACAGAATTACTTTCATTTGACGCCTGTCTTCTGTGTGGTCGTGGTATTACTGGGGGCGTGCCGGCCCTGCAGTGCTAACATGTTAAAGCGGGCACTACCACTGTGTTGCATATTTATATAGTGAATTGATGATGCAAGCGCAACATGAATCTGATAAAATGGCAAAGCGACCGTTGCACAGATATCCGCAATTGTAAATGCATTGCCTACCCTTAATCGGAGGAGACTAGATAATTGCCCCTTACTAAGAGTCTCCTCCACTGTAAAAAAGGAGAGAAATGGACTCATCAGACGAAATGCGGAATTATTCCTGTCTTAACTTCTGTGTGGTCGTGGTATTGCACCGGCTGAACCAGCCTATACCACTGTTAAACTTCCAACCGATAATACAATATACAATGACCAGTCTTAGAAAACTGCAGCAAAAGAAAGTCCCGGTACAAAATACTAAAAATACTTACTTCTCTCTGATACATCTATAAGTCGTAACCTTTCAGCCTCACTCATCGTATCTTCTCCCGGTACTGTAATTAATTCTGGTGGAATTCTCGTGTCTTTTGGAAGAATGTGAACAGGTCTTAATGTCGTGGTCCGTCTTGATGGTGGTCTGTTTGTTATTGGTGGTCTTTTGTCGTCAACAACTGCTGGTCTAACTCCTGGTCTATTGTAGAATGGATTCTGTGTTGTGAGCACGTAGTTTTTGGATGGTTTGTTGGTTTGTTGAGAGTTGTAGTTGTTTTGTTGTGCGTTGTTGGTTGGTTGAGAGTTGTAGTTGTTTGGTTGTGCGTTGTATTCGCTTGATTGAGTGTTTTGGTTACTTGAAGTTTGTTTGTTGTTGGTTAGTCTGTTGTTGTCTTGGTTGTTATATTGATTATTATCTGATCCTCTGTTGTTATTCGGTTGAAAGTTATATTCATTTGATTGCGAATATTGATTGTTGTTGGACGCAGGTCGGTTGTTGGATGGTCTATTATTGTAATTATTAGAAGGTTCGTTGTAGGAGAATTGAATGTTTTCATTGGAAGTGTGATTATTGTTGTAATTGCTTTGTTGTCTGTTGTAACTGTCTCGGTTGTTGGTTTGTCTTTCGTAATTTTCTGATGATTGACTTTGGTTTGGTTTTGTTGTGCTTTCATTTTTCTTTGTTGTTTTTGTTACGAATGATATTCTATCTTCGCTATGTTTTCTTTTTTCATTGCTTATATCATCTAGTACTAATAGGGTATCGTAATTTTTAGAATTCTCTTTCGAGCTACTGTGTATTTCTCTTGCTGTATTTCTTGAAGATGTTCTAGTATTTGTTGATTTATTATTTTGATTGTCATGTCTATTAGAGTTTTTATTTGTAGGTCTTGAAGTGGTTACTTGTACTTCTTGTCCGATTTTCTCCTTCTTTCTAGCGTCTTCTCTTAAATAACTCTCCAACGTTGAGATCGCTGCTGGCTTTCTTCTATCTTTCTTCTCTTCTGTTCTCTGATTTGTCGGATGTCTGTTGAATGTTTTAGGTTTTTTCGTAGTGAATATACTATCGTATGCGGGGAATTCACCGAACGCTGGATGCGATTTTACTATCGGTTGTAGTGCTTGTAAGAAATCTGAAAATATATGCATTTTTAAAACAGATTTAAAGTCAGCCGTTTACTCTATTTACTGGGCACAGTTACTGTTACATCTCTATTAGCTGAATATTCACTGATTTCTCTAGCATATTCTACAACACATACTTTGTCCTACCCAAGTAGTGTGTGCATAGTATCTACTCTTAGAGCGGGTACACAACTTTGACTAAACTATCCAACATCTGTTGTGCGATTGTCGATTGTTTCACAGCCTTCAACTGTTTAGTTGCACAACTAAAAATCGAATGTGCCCACCTACATATAAGCTCATAGTATTCAAGACTAAACAGTTGTGCGATTTAGTAAAAGGTGTTCACGCGGCCTTACATACATCTATATCTGACTTCAGTCCCTTCTCTAGCATATCCTCTGCAACACAATACTTTTTGCGACGTACGACAGCGTCAAGCAAATCTTACCGTATAATTGTGCATGGGCTCCTGTGCTTAGTACGATGTACAAGACTGCAGCAATTGTTGTACCCCGAGCCATATTGTCATTTTATCTGGAAAACAATTGGCGTTTATTACTATTTTGAAATAAATCGGTAGCGCCGCCGGTAGCGGCACAACACTAGATCCTTGACACACGTCCCGTCACTATGACATCTGTCAATGTCAATCAAAAGTATTAAGGACTAGCTGTTGCTCGTGACTTCGCTAGTGTGAAATTAAAAAAAATAGCCTATGTTACTCAGCGATAACGTAGCTTTTTAATGGTGAAAGAATTTTTAAAATAGGTCCAGTAGTTTTTACGTGAATCGAATACATACAAAAATACAATTCCTTCCTCTTTATAATATTAGTATAGACTAGTTGTTGCCCGCGACTTCGTCCACGCAATACTGATATAAAAAGGAACCTATAATATGGCCGTCTATGTCAGCTACCCTTCAGTGAAGGTCCGGTCGAAATCAGCTCAGCCGTTGCGGAGATTACCCGGAACAAACGCGGCTTGCGGACAGACAGACAGACAAAAAATAAATAAATGCTATTTTGGTTATTAAATAATAATAATAAATTCATTTATTTACCAACGCAAATACATCATCTTCCCGAAATCGGGAAATTTCCTTTTGATATTACAGACACTCCAATTTTATTATACGTATAGATAACCCCATCAAGAATAAGAAGGTACTCTACAGGGCTTTTACACGACCCAAGAGAGACGGACCTTCTCATGCCATCGTAATCTCGCAGGTATATGCGTAGGTACCAAAGTTTCAAGTAACTTTCCGTAAATAAAATAACTTTACGATTTCATATCTTGGAAAACAACCGCAATCTTTGATATGTAAAATTTGCATTTAAATAAACATATACAGCGGATTTCCCAAACAATAAACAAATATGTTTGTGATTGCCCGAGCGCCGTTGACTAACAGTTGTGCGATTGTAGATTGTTTTGCAGCCTTCAACTGTTTAGTTGGACAACTAAAGATCGAGTAGTGCTCTTCCATAAGCTCATAGTCAAAGACTAAACAGTTGTGCGGTAAGATAGTTTAGTCAAAGACTTCGTGTCAATGACTTCGATCTGCCAATTAAAAGAAATGATAAATAACGAACACGAATAAAAACATTACTACATCTTGGAAAATACGCTTGTATACCGAATGTATTTAAATATAATATATAATATATATGTATACTAATATAATAAAGCGTAAACACAAACTTCTTTGTTGCCTAATGTCAACAATTACACCATATTTTTGAATAATTCTTTCTTTAATAAAAAGCCCTACACTTACGTCACGCTTTAGGCTATATATTTTCACGTCATTAAACTTAGGCGGTAAATATTTTGGATAAAAACCCTAATGTGGGAAAGAGACCATAAGTTGCTGCCAACATCAAGGAAGCAATTGTCATTTGTGCATTTGAATTTTGACATTTCATGCGAATGAAGCCGCACTGGAACCGCTAGTATACAATAATATAATCTGTACTAATATAATAAAGCGTAAACACACAACTTCGTGGCGTAAGATGTCAATCACAGCATACATTTAAATAATTCTTTCTTTAATAAAAAGCCATACATTAACAACACGCTTTAGGCTATATATTTTCATGCTATAAACTTAGGGAGTAAATAAATTGTGAAAAAAATGCATGTGTGAAAGGGACCATAAACTACAAGCTGCCAATATTAAGGAAGCAAGGCTATTATGGTTAATTTTGACATTTACAATTGAATTTGACAAACGTATACAAATGAAGTTTTCGTAATTCCATGCGGATACAGCCGCACGGGAACAGCTAGTTTTTTATATAAATAAATAGATAAATAACGGATATATGCGTGTATTTAAACAGGATAATATTTTAATGATTCGTTTTAATGATGTAATGAAAAATACGTGATACCATCATCACGTTATGTAATGTAACAGAATCATTAAATCTATATCTGTACTTCTATACTATTATAAAGCGTAAACACACTTCTTTGTTGCCTAAGATGTCAGCTATTACAGCATATTTTTGAATAATTCTTTTCTTTAATATAAAGCCATACACTTACGTCACGCTTTAGACTATATATTTTCACGCCATTAAACTTAGGTGGTTTTTTGGATAAAAACTCAAATGTGGGAAAGAGACCATAAGCTGCTGCCAACATCAAGGAAGCAAGATTGCAATTTTGTCATGTCATGTCATTTTGACATTTGCAATTGACAATTTGACAAATGTAAACAATATAATAATTTTATGCTGATGAATTCGCAAGGGAACAGCTAGTGAGGTTATGTTTAACAAACTTTAACATAGGTTACTTTACTAATGGTTTGAATGCGATCGTTTGTTAGAGTTTGTAGCCTAAACTGCTGAACAGATCTCCATGGCAGTCAGATCTAGACCATAGTCTAGAATCTAGAAGAACACTACTACTTTACTTAACAGTAGTAGAGCCCGCTTTAACATCTTCGAAATGTAGGGCTCGCCCGGTGTAATACCACGACCACACAGAAAACAGGCGTGAAGTGGAAGCAATTCCGCCTACAGTCTGATGAGTGTGGTGGCCTAGTTTTAGTTCTTTTTCCCTTTCCACCCTTTTCTTAAGAGGAAAGGATGGAAAGGAAAAGTGGATTTGACGGTGGAGACGCATAGGAAAGAAAAATCTTCATGTGCGTCTCCTCCGTCAATCAAGGGTGGGCAACGCATCTGCAATTGCGGATGTTTATGGGCAGCGGTCGCTGTCCATTTCGGTGGATTCAGGCCGCTTGCACGTTTACCACCTAATAATATAAAAAAAACTTACTTTTGTTTTTTAATTGCGGACAAAGTCGCGAGTGAAAGCTAGTATAACCGATAAATATTTATTCCCGAGCACAAAATTGTGACGAAAAAAGTTTTCTGAATCTCTTTTGAAGGATCTAACAGTGTTGTCACTTAAAAATACAGAATGACATTTGAAAAACGACGCTTGATTGGACGTTAAAAATAACGGACACAGCCAATGGCGTAGTAAATGTAAATATTAAATGCTTGAAATCTGCGGGTATTATCTCGTTTAGAATATCTCATAAACATTTTTATTATAATATCCCATTAGCTTCAATAACTACGATAAGGTTTTCCAACAATTACTAAACGAAAATATTTAACAAGGATATGGGCTGTGAATTTAAAACAGTATAAAAATGATTATTTAAACAGTTTTATAAACCACTGTCATACTTCATACTAATATTATAAATGCGAAAGTTTAGATGGATGGATGTTTCTTAGAGTTTGTAGCCTAAACTGCTGAACGGATCTCTATGAAATTTGGCACAGATTTAGAGCATAGTCTGGAAGAACACATAGACTACTTTCTATCCCGGGAATAGTTACGGTTCCCGTGGGATTCATTAATTTAGTTTCTTTAATGTTAACTCGATCGTTTTGCAACGGTTCAACATATCTTATTGAAATTTTTGCACAGATATAAAACAAAGTCTGGAGTACACACGGGATCAAGTTCATGCCCGAGAAATGTCCGGTTCCCGAGGGATACGTAGCTTTTTGTTATATCTATAGTTCTCTTTTCTTTAATTCCACGCGGACGTAGTCGCGGGCAACATCTAGTTATACATAAATGGGAAAGTTTAGATGGATGGATGGATGTTTGTTAAAGTCTGTAGCCTAAACGGCTGAACGGTTCTGGATGAAAAGTGGCATAGATGTAGAACATAGTCTAAAAGAACATATAGGCTACTCATTTAGTTTTTTTTTATAAATTCCACAGGAACAGCCGCGGGCGGAAGCTAGTTACTTATATCAAGAACCGGATATTATCCTTATATCAAAACAAAGAAATTCCCTTATTGAATAATATTTGATTAAGAGAAAGGCAAGGAAGTTTATATAACCTTTAAATTTATTTAAACCTCTGACATTTATCTGCAGTTTAACCGAAGTTGAACTCTTGAGTTTATCTTCAAGGTTAACGTAGCTTCCTGTAAAACTTTTAAACAAGATAAATAAGTCGCAAACTTCGTTAGCGCAGAACATTCCCGTGTGCATCTTCTACCAGCTATCTTCCAGTCAAAGTCTCGTCGATATCGGTCTACACGTCCTAGGGATAGTGGTCCGATCGCCATTTTGACAGCCAGGAATAAATAAAATGTAGCCTATAATGTGCCCGTCAATGTCAGCTATCCATGTATGCTATGTCCAGCCGTTTCGGAGATTACCCAGAACAAACGCGGCTTGCGGACAGACAGACAGACAAATTTTTTTTAATTGCGAATTTTGTTATCGGCAAAGCAAATATATCATCTTCCCGAATACTGGAATTTTTTTTTTGATATCACAAACACTCCAAATTTTATTATATGTATAGATTTATGTCCGGTTTCCAAGCTACGTTTAACCATTCGCTAGCGAAAGTTTAGATGGATGGATGTTTGTTTGCTTAATGAAATTTGGTATAGATATAGAGGATAGTCTGGAAGAACACATAGGCTGCTCACTTTTGTTTTTTTAAGTCCACGCGGACAGTCTCGGGCATAAACTAGTTCTACATAACAATGTGTGTTTACGTTTTATTATATTAGTATAGATAATATATTTATAGCTACTATATGTATTTGACATGCAAGATAACTTGTCGGCCTTCTACTGTCACTAGGGACACCATTTTGTATTGTAAATAGTAGGATATGTCTAAAATATCATGAAATCTAATATTATTAATGCGAAAGTTTAAATAAATGTTTGTTAGAGTTTAAATTGTTAAACGGATCTTGTCATAGATGTAGAGAATAGTCTAGAACACATTGGATACTTTTTTTTTATTCCACACGGACGGAGTCGCGGGTGAAAAACAGTGTAATCACTACACGAACATGTAGTTACTATTCTGATAACGAAAAACTGTTTTGTTTTAATTTTGTATCTGTCAACAAGTTGAGTTTATTCTGGGTTATCTCCAGCACTTGCAATGGGAGAATATTCAGATAGTATCCAATGTAAGATGACATCGAATTTGATTGCACAAATAATAATCTAGAGTTCAGCTTACCCTGGACAGTTTAAAAGATGGTGAATACTTCTATAAAATCATAATTTTCCTCCTTATACTACTCCCTTAGTGTCGCAACAGGTTTTTGTCGTTCACATAACTAGCATACGTCATCTCAGTCATCACTCCCTTCATCATGTCACCTTTCACGTACTACATCTCTTTCTTTGTCTATCTCTACCGATAGCATGCCCATACCAAGCTAACCTTTTACTACTTACCTTCTCTACCACTGGGGCTACACTCAAACTTGCTCTAATATACTCATTTCGTATCTTATACAATCGTGTTACTATGCTACTACTATAAAATATCCTTTAAAATGTTGTAATATGGTAACCCTATACGTATGGAACTTTTGCGAAGGCAATGCGTAAGTTTTTTGTTTGTATTGAGTATGGACTTTTCTTTTTTTGTCGACAAGAAACGATTGTAACGATTCACTAATTAATTTAATTTGTTACTGTGAGGAGCGTGCGGACACATTTGACTGAACTATCGCGCAATACGCAATATGCATATGACGCCAAATTGCACCAAACTTTTTTTAAGTATACTTTATTACTATAAAAACAATCCTGCAAAGATTTTTTTAAATATAATGTGATTTAGTGGCAAAATTTAATCATTAAAAAGTGTCTTTTTTCAAATTCCCTCGCTAAGTTCTAAAACGCACACTATTGGTCGAAGCAAATGGCTTATCTAATATGGCGTCGCTGTGTTGTCAATACACAGTTCATTTACGTTAGTTTATATAGAAATACACTCTTGAAGTATTTTATTGTAAACACGATATCAAAACCAACTTTAAAATGAAAAATTAATGAATGGAATTGTTAATTTGAATTATAGTTGAATATTTTCGTGTCATTTTTTTTCTGGTTCTTATATAACAAATAGAATCGTTTAGTAAAAGAAAAAAATACATTTAATTCCCTATTGTGCGATTATCGATTGATTCGCAGCCTTCAACTGTTTAGTTGCACAACCGAAAATCGAATATTACACCTCCATAAGCTCATATCAATGGGAGACGAAACAGTTGTACGATAGTTTCAGGTGTGCGAACGCTCTAAATCCCGGCGAGAGGGCACTTCAATATACTTCTACAATTAAGAATCCGTCGTTAAAAATACGATAGTCCTTTATTTTTACGATCTTTGGAACCCTTTTAAAAGAAATCAGAATTAAATAAGAATTTACGACACTAGTCCTCAAAAAAATATGTTATTTTAGATGGTAGAAGCGCAAGTATCCTCTTTATACACACGAAATAAAAAATGTTACAAGAGTGCGCGCACACCTTTGATTAAACTATCGCACATCTTTTTAGTCTCGCTTTGACTATAAGCTTTTTTTTTTACAACATAAGGTGGCAAACGAGCAAGCGGTCACCAGAATCCGCCAAAATGGCGAAGCGACTGCCCATAGACATTCGCAATCGCGTTGCCTACCCTTATCCGACGGAGGAGACGCACATAAAGAGGATATTGCCCCTTCCTAGGCA